GGGGGGGGGTGTAGTATAAAATACGCTCTCTCCGCCAGAACATTTCACGAGGCTTCGGGCGGTCTGCCAAATTACAAATACAGTAAACTAGACTTGCCCCCGAATATCGAATGAATATCGAGATGCGGCAGTTTTTGACGCCAAGCTCACTTGCGCCTGTCTCCCAAAATAGGGCCCAATATGTCTTCTTAAAATTGTGAATGTTCACTAAGAAGCTGAGTAAACTGATGAGTCTCTTCGCTTGGGCGGCAGTGGCTACCTGAGAGTGCTCGATACGATGTGTTGACGGGGAATCAAGAAAAAGCTCTGGCTACTTTGAAGCGGATTGCCGTGGAGAATGGTGTACCCATGCCGCTGGGAAAACTCATTGCAGCCAAACAAGTAAATCCGTTTCTGCAGACCTTAATGGTCCAAATATAATTCAGCTATTTTTATGCTTTTTGATTTATGAGTGTTGTCAGACTCTTGATTTCCGCTTTTTCATCAGGAGGATCGTGGGAAGATTCGTGACTTGTTCTCGTCGCACTTCCGCTGGACAACAGTTCTTCTGTGGTTTATTTGGTGAATTGAAGAAACATTAATTGCTTTTCTCATCTAAAAAAACACATTCTGTTATGAGTAGTACTTAATGGGCACATTTAGCATAATCTTCAGATTGATGTCTCTCTTGTCCTCAGGTTTGCAAATGCCTTCTCGTATTACGGCCTTGTGTTGCTCACCACAGAGCTCTTTCAGGAGGGAGGTGCATGTGGAAGTGAGTCACTGCTTTGCTTTTGTTTGTTTGTTTGTTTTGTTTTAATTAAAGATTTTAAATTGATTATGTTTTGCACTCAACTACGTTATGTAGACAAATTCAGTCTCCTTGCGTAAAATGCACCACCTTATACTGTTGGCTTAATTATTTTAATGAGGGGAGTTAGACCAGCACCAACCACGACATTTCTTGAGTTTATATTAATGGTTATAATTAGTTTTCATTTGGAAATTTTTTTTTCTATAATTAACTTAGGACTACATCATAACATCCTAATGTTAAATGCATCCTTTTTTATTATTATTTACAATAAATGAAGTGTTAAATAATTTCATGAGATAAATGAACATCTGTATGAAGCGATATAAAACACACTCAATACATAAATATTCATTTGACCAATTTGGATGACGCACTGTGGCGGGACAAGCAGAAAGGAAGAGGAGAAGTGACCTCTGATGTCCACACGAATGCTCATTTGATGAACGGACAAAGAAAATCCTACAGACACAACCCACATCTTGCCCCCGCAGATTTGAAACTGCTTTCGGTAAAAATGGAGGACCACCAATGTTATTTCTTAATTCAGAAACACGCCTTCCATCTATACAGTAAAGTGCGTGCCAGGTGGATAAAAAAATAACTGTTGCCTGCGTAACTAGAAATGAAAGCTCAAATCTGAAAATACTAAAGGAATCACGCCACTGATAAAATCTATATGTTGTTGTTGTTTTGCTGATTTTTAGGAGGAGGATATTTAAGCGTAAAAACACAGACACTCCAGTATAATTAACAGATCTAAGCTAAAAATGTGTTGTTCTTTATTTTTGTCTAGTGTCCAGTGGTAATAAGATGGAACTCAGATGCAGCTTGGAGTGTAAATATTTGAACAGTGATGACTACAAAGACCTGTTGTGGACAACCTTAGCGGAATTCCCAGGTAACAAAAACAAAAAAGCTTTAAGATTGTAAATATTTTTCTGGATCATTCTTTTACCAGATCGCATCGTGAAAGCTATTAAAAGTTGTCTTTCAATATTCTGTTTTATTTTTGTAACTTGACTCCGTTACATAAACTTATTGAGGTTACGGGTTCATGTTCCTCAGGGCTGTTGGTGACTTTGTGGGCGATCGATCGGTTAGGAAGAAGGAAGACCATGGCCTTGTGTTTCCTTGTCTTCTCTCTGTGCATCATTCCACTCTATGGTTGTGTGGGGAGGTAAAAGGAGAAACTTGCGAATGATCTTTCTTTTTTTTTTCAGCAAATTGCCTCCTTGTCATAAAGCTAGTATGGCTTCTCATTTTTGTCACAGAGCATCCATGACAGTGCTGATATTCATTGCCAGAGCTTTCATCGCAGGAGGATTCCAGGCTGCCTATGTGTATACACCAGAGGTTAATTCCAGTCTTCACATTGACAGTGCAATGAATAGGATTAGTCCAATGTCAACCAATTCAATACGGCTGTCAAGGACAGAGAGAAGTAGTAGGACATTCACCGTGTTTTCTGATGTTCAACAGGTGTATCCAACTGCAACCAGGGCTTTAGGCTTGGGAACAAGCAGTGGAATGGCGAGAGTTGGTGCACTCATCACACCTTTTGTTGCACAGGTAGCATCTGCAAAGTTTGGCACTCTGATGTGATGAAGTGACATACCAAGTGGCCTTTCCGCGTTCTCTTGCAGGTGTTGTTGGAGTCGTCTGTGTATTTGGCTCTCTCGGTTTACTGCTGTTGCTGCCTGCTTGCCGCTATCGCGTCTTGCGCACTGCCAATTGAGACAACGGGACGAGGCCTGCAGGAATCCAGCCAGCGTCAGTGGGGCCAGGAGATGATGGGCCGAGCCTCTTCCTCACAAAACACGGGGCCAATCCCTCATTCCAGCTCCGGCTCCCAGGGCTGAGCAATGTTTGAGATTATTACAGTGAATCGTGAAAGGACAAAAAAAGCTGCAGCAGCTTTTCACAAGTCCCATCTACAGTCTACGCACTAAAGCGACTTCAGAGAGGAAGGCCCGCACAAAATGTCATGTCACTGCACTAAAGAGTCTTCATCCACCATTGCCATCCCTTTTGCCACTGTAAAACTGCAACAGAATGGCTGGAATGCATGGCATTCAGGTCTGGCCGAAGAAAGGGTGAAGGCAAGTGAGGTCTGTCAGTCTCAGAAATGGAGAAAAAAAAAGGTCTGAATCCTGCTTTCCGATGGGCAAATGAAAAGAGGGGGAACAAGCAATGGTCTAAGTCCCAACCAGGGGTGCCCCGAGGAGTACGTGAGCACATTTCCAAGCGACACGTGGAAACATTTAACAATTTCCTCGATCATCTGGCACAGCTGTGCCTAAAGCACACTGCCTGTGTGCCAACTCTAGTGTCTCATTAAAGCTCAGATGACTACTGAAAAGAAAGTAAAACTGCTATAGCAGGTCTGAATATTATTCCTGTTTAGGGTTTTGTTTCTGCTATTTAAGTTACAATGCCTGTTTAAAGGGGAATTATTCAAATTAGTTCCATTTTTTTGTGGCAAATAATATGAATCTTAATTTTAATTATTGTTTTTTTATATTATCTATTTTCAAGGCAACATATTTATTTTTATGTTTAGTTAGAGTTAAGAAGAATATCCCTATGAATTAAATGTTCATATTAAGTAAAGGAGAAATAGTTTTCATTTTATGATCAGTTGTGTTACATTTTACTTTTGGAGAGTCATCATCACGTATGACAAGTTTCACGTGTACACAAGCCAAGAAAGGTTGGGAACCACTGCTCTAAGTTTTAGAAAATACAATATGTAGCTTCAGACAGTCCAACTCAAAAAAGCCTTACAAAATACAAATATATTCTCTACCTGGTTAACATCTAACTCAGTTGTCTATACCGGTAATCTCTTTTTTTTCCATTCACTGAAAAGTAAAGAAAATAGCCAAATAAACAATTTTGTTTACAACATAATGATGATGCCCAAGTGTAAACGTGAACACCAATTTGTTTTTGTTTTGTTTTTTTAAAAAGGCAAGACATTTCCAGTCGGAATATTCGTTTATGCCATGATCAATTTTTGACAATGACAAAGGTGAAATCTGGTGACACTTTAATCAGAGTAATGAGTTCATTATGTGTGGGTAGTCTCTGACATTTCTGAAATAAGAATCAAGAAAACATGCATTGTACTAGAAAATACGTGATTAGATTGGAAGTATGGGACAGTATTGTTTTTTAGTTTCATCACATTCTACAATGCTTAATCAGCCTGATTAAAAATAATAAAATACTGTGATGAAAATACTTAAAATGTGACTATTTCATTGGATTCTAAACATCAAACAGCGTCTATGTGTACTTAATGTTTACTTTAGACTAAACACAGTCATTTAATTTGGTTTAATTTATACCTCTGTGAATAATTCATCAAATCTGGTTTTGTTTTTTTTTTTTGGAAAGAGGTGATGTAATTTTACACTTATTCTATGAGCTATGCTTTACCTGAAAAAATGAGCTGCTGGTTGTTACAGTATTAATCTAATCGGTATAAATATGTAATGTACACTGATTTTTGTCAACACAAAAAAGGTAAATGTACATCATGGCAGTAAATAATCTTTGTAAAAGAGATGAGGTCGTGTCATTGTTGATGTCAGGGATTTGTAAACTCTCTCTCTCTCTCTCTCTCTCTCTCTCTCTCTCTCTCTCTCTCTCTATATATATATATATATTTTTTGGAAGTATGGGACAGTATTGTTTTTTAGTTTCATCACATTCTACAATGCTTAATCAGCCTGATTAAAAATAATAAAATACTGTGATGAAAATACTTAAAATGTGACTATTTCATTGGATTCTAAACATCAAACAGCGTCTATGTGTACTTAATGTTTACTTTAGACTAAACACAGTCATTTAATTTGGTTTAATTTATACCTCTGTGAATAATTCATCAAATCTGGTTTTGTTTTTTTTTTTTGGAAAGAGGTGATGTAATTTTACACTTATTCTATGAGCTATGCTTTACCTGAAAAAATGAGCTGCTGGTTGTTACAGTATTAATCTAATCGGTATAAATATGTAATGTACACTGATTTTTGTCAACACAAAAAAGGTAAATGTACATCATGGCAGTAAATAATCTTTGTAAAAGAGATGAGGTCGTGTCATTGTTGATGTCAGGGATTTGTAAACTCTCTCTCTCTCTCTCTCTCTCTCTCTCTCTCTCTCTCTCTCTCTCTATATATATATATATCTCTGTACTATGTATAATTTTTTTTTAAACATGGTCCTATTTTGTTATTTAATAGTGAATAACGATTGCCCCTTACTATAATGATAATGAAATTATTAGGTTATGATTTGATCACAATTGCATCACAAATGCTAATAACAAATTCACAGGTGAGCTTTTGGTGCCTTGCCCTTTTCTTCCAAAATCTGACCAAAAAGCCTGGCTGCTTCCTCTGCACAGCCTTTGCAAATGGTAATTCCGAAACCTCCGTGGCCATAGTTGTGAATCACCTACAGGACAAGCACAGTAACTCGGACACTGAGGACCAATTCACATGTGGAATTGCGATCAGATGTTTAGGATGAATCACCTCAACGGCAGTGGTACCACACAGTATAGTCTCTCTCTCCAGTCTGACTTTACTTCGAGCTGGCCTGAGGCCGGTCCAGTCATCCACTATCTTGGCATGCTGTGTGGTGAGAAAACAGCAACAGACATAATGCAAATCAAAGGGCATGAATAAAACCAAAATTACCCAATTACCAGTACAAAATGATAAAAGAAGGAAACAGTGCTGCAGCCTAGTCCAGCATCGCCGTAAGTGTTTTCCAGTCTTTTTTTTTTTATAAATGTTGAATGGTGCCAACCCTTCTAAAACAAGGAATTCAATCACAGCTCTTTATTTCTGACAGACATCAAATGATGATCTCATTTTGAAAATAGGTGACAGGAAGTGGATACATTCAAACATTTTTTTAGCAGTTTATACATAAACAAGTATTTTAACGACACACTGTTGAAATTTTGAAAGAAAAAAATATGAGCTATAAGTCAGGTAAAATGAACAGGGCTCGTTACTTTTTGACTGCCCCTCGTATATGTCAACTGAGATGACAAGAATTGTAATAATACTTTACCCTTAGACTAGGCTCGAGCTGGCAAGCCTGTTCCCAAATGTGCTCATGGGTGGCAGAATCATTGCTTTCATTCCAGTTTCCCAACTGGAACACCCCGCCGACTGCCACGAGACGACTCCTGCAGATACAAACTTGTTGAAAACACAAAATGAAAGTGCTACTTCAAGTCACTAAAAGCCTCTTTCACACTGGCATTTTCACAGCGAAATCAAACATTGCATGCCCCAACCAGAGTGTCAAACTTAACCACGAAAGACTCACTGTCCACATCCTTTTGTGTTAAAGGTTAATTGTAGCTGATGCCATCGCTCGTCTAAACATCTGAAAGCACATTTCCAGTAAAAAGCCACTTTGGTGGGTCCTCTCATAAGGGGACAGTCGAATAAATGCCAGCTTTATTGTTAACAGGAATGCAGTGTGAAAGTGGCTTTGGACTGCTGAGAATTTGTCAGTCTCAAGTCACAAGTGCTACCCTGGAATGATATATGGTGAGTTGTAGATCTCTCCAGTGTGGGTCAAAATCCAGTGCTTCAACCATGGGGCTTCTACCTAGGAAATAGGAATATGAAGAATTAATCATTTTTCCCCTCTACCCAAATGATCCAGATAATGAGTCTCCTCACCTTTATTATCTGTCCCCGAGCTGGTTTGAGTTCAGGGTCAGGTTGGAGGTCTCCGGATCTCACCCCAGTACAGTTTATTATCACATCTGCACCATTTTTAGACAGCTGAAAATAGGGAAGGACAAAACTTTTAAAAAGGAGGAAAAAATACAGTACAGTCAAAAACTGTACCATGGCCAAATTTAGAGCTACTGTACATTTTTTTTTTTTTTTTACATTTTAAAATTTTTTTTTGTTACCGACAAAGAGGTGTTTCCTTGTTGGAAATTACACAAGGAAGTGGCTAGGAAATTGTGTTAGGGATATTGATAAAAAATATGACTTTTGTATTGTTTTTTTACATTTTAAAAATTACTCATATCCTGGAACCTGCAAGAGTTTTGGCCTGAGCAGGAAAGAAGTGACAATCTTTTGGCCTCATCCTTAAGTCCTGACATCCGCAGACAATGCTCCTGATTTACATTATTACTGGTAATGCAAATATTATTTTTATAATCCTTTGGTATAAAGTTTGCTAATTTGACTGTCAGAGTGGTTTATAGTTCATTAGGAATGGTGATTCATGTTTCAGGCATGTTTTTGTAGATACTGTCGGGCATTCTTATTCAGCCAGCCAATATATCTCTTCACACAACATCTTTGATTCGTGTGCCACTTTCTTTTGTTATTTCCAGGTAAAGGATGTCCAGTCATTCATTCATCAGAAATAATTCCCTTTATGTCCGAAGTTCTCCATAGTGTGAAGAATCTGGTGCAAAGCTCACCTCTGTAAAGGAGCCAATTTTTCTGTGATAAAATTTCACACCCCGTTTTGCCAACCTGAGGAAGACACCAGATGTACTATTCATACCAGAGCATGTGGTGACCTTTATGCTTTTTTCTCTGTTACGCAAAGCATTTGGACCAAATATCCTATTTTGTAGGGTATGTATTGTATGGGTTACTGACTGGAGTATGTAAAGTACTTTTACAGTGTTCACTAGTATACAACTTGCTGGGCTAAATCATTCTTAAAAGAAAAACAAAACATGGAATATGTAAAGGTTCACATCTTTACTGCTTTCTAATCTCAGCTTTCATCAATGAAAGTGTGGAAAGCAGTCACTCCTTGACAATTGACAATGGACTTCTTTGAGTCCATTGTCAATTGTGAAGTGTTTATATTTATTCTACTTTTTGATGATTCAGGCCCATAAAAGGGACAAGGGTGACTCAAAGTTAAAATGAAATGGAATATTGGATATGTTTATGATTTTATAGCAGACCAAATCACGACATGTCAAATTTTATGTTAAAAAAAATGTGTGCAGCTCAAAGTGGTTTATGGTTTAAGACACTAAGCCAGGGATATGAAGTGAAGTACATGAAAACACTGAGACTTTATTTGTGCCCTTATGTGCAATAACTCACCAGTCCATCAGCCAAG